AAAAAAAAAATTTTTTTTTTTAGTTTTTTTTTAAGAGGGTCTTTTTGCAAATGACATAATTGTTTAGCTCTATAAATATAATTTATATAGTTTCTTTCTTCCATCTTCTCCATGTTAAAACGCTCATTAAATCACACAGATGTACACCCATCCTCCACAGGGCAAAGTGTCTCTGCTCACTTGCAGACAAATTGGTCTACAATTCTTGTGCAGCGCTTGCACTTCACGTAGCAACACCAGTGGAACTTGCAGTTGCAGCGCTCCACTATTTGGGCTTTGTACTGATCATAACCTCGGCCACAACACATTAACTCGCACCCATCCATGCCTTCTGATGTCTTGTTGCAAAGGCGTCCCACTGTGCCCAAGGAGCCAGTGCTTTGGTTCTTTAAGCAGTAGTCTGGACTCTGGTCGATGTGCACCAAATCATTGCCCGTGGGTGGGTTGAAATTGCTGTGCAACGGTACCAGTTTGCCACGTGAGTTGAGCTTCATGGCTGCAGCGCTGTCATACTTCTCCTTCAGAGCATCACCCACCTTTCGGAAGTCAGCCAGCTGTAGCCAGCAGGTCTTTAAGCTGCAGGAACCCGACACGCCATGGCACTTGCACGACACATCAGCGAGGTTTGACACAGCCTTAAAAAAATACAGGAAGAAGATCTTTAAAAGCAGTTTCTAGGAATGGATTTCAAAAGTGCTCATTCTTTTGAAAAAACACTCCTGCTAACCTAGCTAAAAAAGATTAATTTGCAAAAAATGCATAAGCCTTAAAACACTCACATTCTACCGTGTCACAACCACAAACTTGAATCTAGCTTTATTGGGATTTTATGCAGTAGACCAACATAAAATAGTTTCCTCTTGTGTTTTTATTTCATATATATATATATATATATATATATATATATATATATATATATATATATATATATATGTTAAACATAATCATCAGCGTTCTTTACCCTGACCCAAAGTCTGACAAAGAGCATTATAAAACCCCTTAACGAAACAAGGATTCATTTTTAACAGTTAGCTGGTATGAATAGTTATTGATAAGTTTGGGTTTTAAAGTATATTCCAAGGTACGAACATCTTAATCCACCAACTAAAACACAGGTAGATCTTAGCCCCTGCACAAGTGCCAATCTACTATGCCATGGATGTCAAAAGAAACTGACAGGCTGGAAAAATAGGGCTCAATCTTAGAAGCAGCAGAGAGGCAGTTTGCTAAAAGCGACACAAGTGATATGTGGAAGTAGTAACAATGCTCAGATTGGCCGAAATGCAAATTATGTGAAAGAAATCTAAATTTTAATATCACCTAGAACAAACCATCTTCACTGAAATATATGGTGATTGCAGTTTAATGGTGTGGGGAATGTTTTCATCAATCAAGATGGGGAAGCAGCTTAAAGCTAAAGGGAAGAAGCCACAATCAGATGAAATTAAAATTAAAACCTTTTAGAGGACAAAAAAAAAAAAAAAAAAAAAATTTAAGCTGGGGAAAAGGCTCCCCTTTCAGCAACACAATGTGGTTCCATGAAGCATTCTCAGAAATTCTAAATATAAATGCACGCAACCATGTTCTTCCTTTTTGAGATGGAGGGGTATTAGAGAAATACTTCACTTTTATTCTTTTTCTAAAGGTTACATCATAAAATGTTATTGTGACCACAGTTTTTACAATGTTTTACAATGGCTTTTTTAGGACCCTATAGCAGAGATGACCCAATTAAGTTTTTTTCCAGTCCAATCTCATATGTGGGCTGAGCATATCGCACTGATCCGATACTGCTGCAAGAATTAACCATAAACCTTTCCATGCAAATAAGTAATCAGGCTCATCCTACAAGTTTTTTTAAAACTGTTAACAAATTACCGCAGCTTTAAAACAGCATTACTTGCTGCGACTGCTCAGAGTCATTCATCCTACATCTGATCTAGCCAATTAGTGAATATCGATATTGGATCAGTGCATCTCTGCTCTGCAGCTGGTGCTTAAGTATTGACAATAGTATCTTACAATAACACAAAATTCAAAACTCATTTTATAATTTCCCTGTTTATTTTTTTTTTTTATTTTAGGCTTTGTTTAACAAAAACAGAGACACCAATTACCAGGCTTAGCCTATTTTCAGTCGGAAACCATGGACAACATGAGAAAACACTAAGTATGAATACCTTTGCAAGGCACTCCATATCTCCAATGAGTTGCTTTTTAACTGCATGCTCATAAGGAATCACTTTACTATTGAGGACAGTGCTGTCCTGGCTAACTCTCCAAAGGTGCACAACATAAAACTTTCACCCATTTGTTTGACTTGAAAGGAAACAGTCTGAGAAGAAAGATCTAGCATTATGTTTTCTTTGAGGTCGATTCAAGATGTTTGGAAGGAAAAAACCCCGAGCCGTCTCCAACGACTCTCTCTCCCTATACACATCAAAGCTGAGGAGGGAGTGAACAGACAGAGCTGTTAAACAGATGATCATACAGAATCTATGTTACGGACCTGGTTTATCTCACTTATAAAAGTCAGTTTTTCTCTTTCTGCACCTTCACACTTGTTTCCTATCAGATGACGCAAAAGACCAGTGTAAATGTCTTACCCTCCTTCCTGCCTCATTATTGTGGAGGTTCATCTGCAGCCTTGCGCTCTCGTACGAGCCTTTTGGATAGCTCTTCTCCCTCTCGCGTGCGTCCACAAACTCCTTAGAGAACCTATAGCCATAGTTGAGGTTGTCTCCGCAGCCACCCCACAGCCAGTCTCTCTGTAGATCTTTGGGACGAGCAGCCCGACTGCACCCACAGCTGTTGAGCTCACCCTCTCTGCAGGCACGGCTCACTGTGTTCACCACCCCTGCTGCACTGATCGCATAGGTGAACGCTGTTTCACGACTGCCTGTGTATACACAAAATGACATCATATCACATTTGACATAGTGAGATTTAAAGATACAAATATCTACAATAGGTAATTTCATGAGCATTACCTTGGAAATGTATTCATACCTCTTTAACATTTTCACATTCTGTCACGATCTGACCAAAAGCTTCAAGGTAGAATAATTAAAAGATTTATAAATTAGCACAAAATAGTTGAATGGGAGGAAAGTGATGCATGTTTCTCATTGCTTTACAAAATACTATCCAAAAAAAAACATTTGTGTGCATTAATGCATTGTATTCCGTCCCTTTTTTTCTCTGACGCTAAAGCCCAACCAACTGACTTCTGTTTCTGTGGATATATTGACTAAAACACCCCGGTCAGTGATTAAGCTTAAGCAATTTAAAGCAGGTTTGATTGCAAATTATGGTTAGAAGTCTTGTACAGTGCACGAAGTGCTGTTCGGTCCATCATCCAGCAACCTAAACAGTAAAGCATAACTGCAATTGTGGATGTCCAATTAAATTCATTAGCCAGTAAAGGGAACCATTATTCTAAAGAAGAGCTAATTATTTTGGCCTCTACGGAAAATGTACAAGAAAAAAGGATCGGTGAAAGAAAGCCAGAAAAAGCCAGCTTTGTAATTTGCAATAAACCATGAAGAAGACGGAAGTGCTTCTTACAAACAACATATGGATGGAAGAAAAAAAGTTCAGCACATCATTTTGAAAAAAAAAAACTTCTGTGAAACTTTTGAGATTGTAAATTCAAACTGAATGGGGAGGACAATACAGGGCAATCCTGGAAGAAAATGCAACATGTTTATAGTGTTTCCGAAAACTAACTGTTAGTTTTTTTCAAAATTGAATATTTCTCTGTGTCACTCTGACTTAAATGTGTGGGGTGTTAGGATATGTGATGTCATATGACAGCAGTCATCATAGGCTAAGGAGTACAGAGCACTTCAGCCAAGTACTGCAGGCTCGTCACTGACAGCATGCTGAAGAGTGTAATCTGGTTTGCTGTTATTGGGCCGCAGCCAGAGAGAACACAGCGCCCTCAAGTGACCAAAAGGCCTCTTAAACTATGGGCATTTTAGTCCATTTAAAATTGCCATAGAATCTTTCCATTAAACTGTCATGACTGAGTGATGGTGGAGTCACAGGTCATTAACGTTTTTCTATCCTGGGCATTTATTCTGTAAAAAAGACAACAGAGAGGAAAAGACTAAAGCTATACAAGTTATCATTCTAACAAAGCCACAGACAACTACAGAGAACTGATAAGCTCAAGGAGAATCATTTGAAAACAGTCTGTATAGCTGGTGGGTAGGTTGTGAAGATCAGGACTGCTAAACAGCAAAAAAATAATACCCCATATAGTCTATGAGGCCAAATCTATAGGGATTAAACTGTAATGGCAACAGCAGATGGGGAAAGAGAGATGGGTCAAGAAAAAGAAAATATGGAGCAAAATAGAACAAGGGATATGTAAAAATTGATGATCATATAAAAAGAAGACACTGCTGAAAAACTCCTTAGACAAAAAAGGAATCTGAATGCAGTTTCACTCTGCTGTTTTGTTTAAGGCTTTCATAGACAGCTATTTAAGCAAAAGACATCTTTATCTAGCACAAAGGGGAACAGGAACAACTGGCAGCTTATGAGGTTGTCATTGAGGACTAACTGTTAAGTAGTAGGCTGTATTCAAATAGGTGCATTTCTAGCTTTGGTAAAAAATAGTAACACAGCTGTTCAACCATAAACCTTACAGTCAACAAAATATCTAGAAAGGCTAAGACAATGAATCATTCTGTAACAGTGTTAAAGTTCATAGGTAAAACTTTGTGATCAAGGCAATTTTCTAAAATAATGCATCCACAGAATATCTAGAGTGGTGCAGAATAAAAGGGTTATTTTTACTGAAAAAATGTATAGCAATTTACAGTGGTTTAAGATGTATAAATTACCTACTGTAAGGATTATTTTCATAATTTTTATATTGAAAAAAAGCAACATGAAAGATGATAAATGCAAAAGCAGCAAAGAAATTAGAGATGATCCCATCTTCACTCTTAAAAAGGAAAAGACTGGAGAGAAGAAGCAATGTCAGATGTGAATGGTGTATCACATGCATTGAACTGGATAATGCTTATCTTGTGCAAATAGGGCTTTATTCCCAAAATCACTTTATAGAATGGGTCCTAGTTCAGTATTACAGACCCAATTGTGGCATTTCGTTTATATTTCTGTTGTCCTTGTTATTTTCTGTGATGTAAGGTAAAAGACAGTTAACTTGTGTGGATGTATGTGCACTAGTGTTGGTGCAAAATCAGGTCAATTTTTTTCTTTTTTAAGATTTTCATTTCTCATTCTATTTATTGCAACCACTTAAAAAAAAACCTTCATTTCCAGATTCAATGGCAAGCATTGCCCTGATTTTAGCTGTATTTGAAAATATTGGACATTTTGCAGCATCACTTTCAAATTGGAAACATTAATGCTAACTTTCTGAGTCCTACATCCAGTTACCTGTGTAGTGAAGGACTGCTGTGAACATTCAACTGTGCTCCAGGTTAATTGAGACCTTTTGAACCCAGGTAAACATCACAACCGAGATTCTCCCCAAGCATTTTTTAAAAACACAAAATAGACTATAAGCTGTAAACTATGGAGAGATTGGGACAGAGGACTGGGGTGCAGGCATAAGTCCTAGTATGTGCTGCATGCTGGTAAAAAAGGCCCAGTATGCTGAGGGGTCAAATTTAGAAGTCACGAAGAAGCCTCTGACTGCAGAATCTCAGTTGTATGACAGTCTGATGAAGCGGATGCTCAGAGATGTCTAATTTCCCTTTAAAAAAAAAACAAACAAAAAAAAACTCCTTTGTAAGATGAGTTTCCAGAATAGAAGCAGCCTTCTTTATTATTTTGTTGAGCTGTGTTAAGTCAGTACTTCTGATGCTAATGGGATGGCAGAAGAGATGACACACTATACAAAAAGTATATAGAAGTATGCTCCAGCCAGCTAAAAGCACTAAGCTTCCAAAAATTCAGTACTTTTTTATTACATTTCTTTTAAAATAAAATAAAATAATTCTTATTTTTTTTATTTTTTTTTATTTTAAGCCGCTTTGGAATTTAAGTTATTGTTTACAAGCCCCTAAAAGCCACAGGTTACTTCCACATCAGTCCTTTTTGCTGCTACCTTATCTAGGGGTCACCATAGCAAGTCACTGCAGCTTGCAAACAGACTTAGAGTTTTATACCGTATCATCTTGGAGATGCACAAAACTAACGGATGAGAATAAATTGAGTGGTTAGGTGGGAAAAAATGTTTTTTTCCCTTTATCCAGTTTGCACAAATCATGTTTGTACAGCTGAAGATGACACACACTAAAGAAACATTAAAGACATTCTTACACCACAAGCAATATCTGTAATAAAAACTAACACCAATTCTAAGATTCAATTACATTTTGTGACTTAAGCGACCAAGACTGCTGTAACTCTGCACTAATCACATTATTATTTTACATGTTAATTATACTAAGAGTGCATAGAGTTCTGATGAGAAAGTAAACCAAACAGCTTTTGCATTTAGCAAAATATAGTGTTGCTAAAAGCAAGTTAAGCCTGCTCCTCATATATCTCTAAGAACAAACAGACCCTGTAATCTCTGACAAGTTGATTTAAGTGTATCCTTACTACCCTCTTGTATTTAAATACAGGCAGAAGTGTGTGTTAGACTATCTCTCATTCATCAGTGGGAAAGCAGATTCTCTGTCTCCCTTCTGCTCCATGTCAGGGGCTTCATTTGTGGGCCAAAGCCACATATGATTTATCCAGCAACCTCACCCACCAACTATTCCCTTCACTCAGCTGCTGAGAATCATCAACCCCATGCATTTCACAATTTTACCCACAGACTTACATTTGCTTTCATTTTTAACCCCCCCTAAAAAAAAAAAAAAAGAGAAAAAAAGTGGAGCTCAAATTTTGAATAAAAGAGATAAATTGTAAGCTTATGCTCGTTAACTCTGGGTAATGCATAGAATGCCTTCCATATTTTAACACTGGGCCGCATATCACGTTCAAACCATAAGCGATGAACCAACACAACATGGTTCATGCTTCAGCAGAAAAAGACTCATGGTTCTCCTTTTGTTCAATGATTGAAAATCTTAAAGGTGCGGCTTACAATTGTGATGGGCTCTCTTCACTATAATGTCTCTAAGTGAAATCTAGAGTAGAGAGATATCATGAAAGCAAAGCATAGTATACTTGTGAATTCACAAAATGCAGCCAACTTTGCAATGTACTTTATGAAATGAAGTATAACTTGTTAGAAACCCATGTGTGATGATTTTTGTTCCCAGCTGACAGAAACAGCCAGGGAAAGACAGAGAACAGATCCGGCTATGGAAGAAAACTATTATGAAAGCCCTCCATTCTGTTTTTCTGCTCTGCATATTTGTACAGTTACTACAGCTGCAAAATTATTGTCAGAGTCAAGAGAGACACATTCAACATTGCCCCTCTAAGTCTGGAAAAGTATGATGCCAGAGTCATGCTGTTGTTCACAATGATGTCAGACTCAAATGTATATGTTTTCTATCGCAGGGTTGGACTGGGGTTGGTTTGTTTCTAAACCAGAAGTGAAGAAGAGTTGATTTGGAAGGAGACTGAGACCACAAAAGTGGGTCTTCGTCCAGCTATCTAGTCTGGACCAGGGCTCACTTCAGTATATTCACACCTGTACAGAAGGTCTGGACCAAGTAGCGAAAATCAACTCTGGTCCATCAAACCAAAAGTGGCTGGTGTGAAAATACCCTTGATAGAAGTTCAATATAGGGTTGAAACAATTAATCACATTAATCAATTATTGAAATAATCATCAACGAATAATGTAATAAATTAATCGTTACATGTCTTTAACTGAAAGAGTGACCCACTTTGAGCAACAATTATACCAAAATTTTAAAAATAAAAACGGTAAACATTTTGCATTTAAGTTGAAAATCTTTTTTCGTATGTCAATAGGCTCTATCCAGAACTCCTCAAGTGGAAAAGTTTAAGTTTCACTTAGTGTAATTTGGCAAAAAGTCTTCTTTAAGGAATTTTTGGCTATCCGATTATCGAAAAAATAATCTACGGATTAATCGATTTGCAAAATAATCGTTAGTTGCAGCCCTACTTCAATATAACTACAGCTGTTCTGCCTTAGGTGTTATTTGGAGAACATTATCAAAGAAAAGTTTGATGGATCAAGGAACATAGGCAGTTTGGAGATAGAGTTCTGGAGTCCAAATTTAAGAACTTAACTTAGCTCAAAACCTTTTGAAGGGGAAAATAGATTTGCCTTCTGAAGATGTAATCTTTACCATGGAGTGGGAAAAAAATATTGATGAAAGGCAGCCTTAGTTAAAAATCTAGAATACTGATTTTCAAAAACACAGCTAACATGTAGAAGGTGCTCTGGTGAGACAATATTTAACATTATAGCCTAAAAGATGGTGTTGGTAATATCCTGCAAAGATATTGACAAAGTCTTCAGGTATGCCCTAATTGCTTTGCAGTGGTGTTTTTTTTTTTCCTTTTTGTTTTACACATGTATACAATTTCTTACCTATTTGCATGACACGTCCAAAAACAGAGGAGTTGTCCACAGTGCTGCAATTCCAGCGCCGGTGCCTGAACTGGTACTGGCATTCACGAATCCCCATTTTGGCACCTTCACCAATAAACTGCATGTGGTCCTGGTAGAGCTGGCACAGTTTCTTTTGGCCCTGAGACAGGCCTACCAGCTGGCTGCAGAGAGGCTGGGCCCCGATGATATAGGCCTCTGGGATCAGTAAAGGGTTCATGGCCAAAGACCTGGGGGTTGGGGGGGACACACAATGCAGTGTTTCACTCAGTGCCACTGAAACAGATGTATGGAGGTTTTTCAGGCCAAGGCCATGATCATCAGTTGATTTCCCTTGATTGAGTTTGAGAAAGGTATGTAAATCATTGCAAAGAGGGGTATTCAGTCAGAGTCATAAGTAAAATCTCTGCATGTGGGCTTGTCTTGGGTTGAACACAGTGTCCCTGGGAGCTGGGAGAAGTTCAAGTTCTGTTCTCTACAAACATTAGGAGGTTGATCAGAGGAAAATAATACATCTCCAGAATGCCAGAGAAACAAATTTTTGCTGTACATGCTTTGATCAGGTTTTTCCTCACCCAATGTTTTAAATGTTGCCAATACAAGCCATTTTTCCCCATTGACTATTGGGGTATCCAAAATCCAAAAGTACATCTCTCTGGATTTTCACAGCTTTCAGGTACCAAATATGGAAGATCCTGATTGTTTTATGTGTAAATCAAAGACAGTATTAAGAAAAAGAAACAGATAATGACACTACCTATAAGGATAGCAAGAAGCAAATGTTTATAAATCAGCAAAAAAGGGAAACACCAGAGTGAGCATCTGGTTCCAGGCCACAGAACAATTAGAGCAGCCCATCTCTGAGACCCCAGAGAGACACAATTAGCCCCCAGTGTAACCTGATCCACTGAGGAAACTCACCAGTGAGGGAACAAGGGAATGAATACACCAATGCATACACACCAAGAGGCACACAAACGGGGGTGCAGGGGGGGTAACGTCTCAGCACTCAAACACACACAGATTGATGCCCTGTCAACATCCACCCTTAAATCATTCACACCTGTGAGTTCTCTTTAAAAGGAAACAGAAAGACACACAGACTTTTTTGGCATTCAACTCCCATCTCTAAGAGATCAGTGGTATTCTAAGAGGCTACAGCAGGATTTGTAATTATACTCTGTAGTTGAACTTTAATGTAGCTGCTCCAATAAAATTCTTAATAGGCTTTTGTCTTTAAAAAAAATGTTTTTATGTATTGTTAAACAAAGTAGTGTAATAGATTATATCATTCAATTGGTTGTATGTTGCACAGTTTATAAACTGAAATGCTCATAAAACGCTTTAGCTAAAAAATTTGTGAAAAGTGCTCCTGCTATCATCGATACATAGTGGCCAAGTTTATGAAAATATTATGTATGTAGAGTTCCATCTCAGTAGGAACTACTGTGGGTATCTGTATTCTTAACCTTATGAATTTGAAGGCTAAATTCTAAAGCCAAAATTTCATGTTTCAGAAATATTTTAAATTTTTATTTGGCAAAACATTTAAACTACACAGTTAACAAATCAAGACAAGGTCTTTACAGACAAAAATGTATACATACCACCATGAGTTGGCCTCTACGACCACCTGCATGAGGAGCATGACGAGCGTGAGGGCAAAGACACAGTTCCTGGAGTCCAGCAAGCTGCCAAAGGGCCAGCAAACTGGCCGACAGACACACTTTAGCCCAATGTTCATACTGCCAGAGATCTGCAACGAAACAGAGAACAAAAGCATTTCAGTCTATATTCTTGATCTACTTATTTTTCATTATTCAGTATAAACACATTCATGTTATTCAAAGATACTAGTTATATTTCCTCATGTGCAACAAAGATGTAAGAGTGACAAGAGCCCTGAGGCCACCTGCGCTTGAACAGCAGAGCCAGAAAAGTCATTTAGTCTGAGTGTGAATCACAGAAGACTGACAGACATGCAGCCAGGGAAGAAACAATGAAACTCCAGACACATTCCTGGGAGCAGCCGCCGGAAGGCCTAAAGTTTGATTTTTATGAAGCTGCAGTTCAAGGTATGAGGTGTTTAGATATGACATGCAAAACAAATCACAAAAAAACAAAAAACAAACACATTTTATACATTTCAATATATTTGAAATGTTTTACCTGTTTTATGATCTTATTGACAGTGTAGGTCTCTTTGGTGTTTTTTTATTACTCTGATATTTAGGAATGTATGATAGCATATTATTATTGTTACACCTTATTTTTTAATTGCAATTCCGTGCAGTTAATACAACTTTTAAGAGATCTACTGTAAAAAAAAAAATACGTTTAAAAATACATATAGGCCTATATTAAAAAAAAAATATATATTAGGTGAACGCTTGACATGTCATTAATCAAAAGAAAATAGGTTTTCATTGCGTTAAACCATATTTCCACTATGGTTAATTGAGTTTCAGACAAACACTAGCCACGTTTTGTATGTTGGTTTGCCAAGATTACGCAAATGTAAGAAAAAAGCTGACAGCAATTATTTAACAAGTGCGAAAGTCCGGAGAAACTTTGCGCAAGCAGAACATATGTCTAAATATTGCCCTTTATTTTTGCAAACCCAGCCGCGTTGCCAGCCCTCCAGCTGCAGCTTGGTGTACATTTTGGGACTCAAAGAGTCATTCTCCTTAATTTTTCAGGTTTGTGCTGTGAAGACAGTATACCGACAACTAAAAGGCCAAGTTCACCCGATTCGGGTACAAAATTATCCACGCACGGTGCGCATGCATGAGCATGTGCTTTGAGTTTGCGAGAAGCCTCGGTAATAATTAGAATTAACAAGCTGCCTATTTTTTCTTCTTTTTTTGTGCTGTCTCTAAAATCTTAAGTCTCCTGCTGTTGTTGATTTTTTTTTTTTTTTTTTTTTATTAAAGTAGCTACTACTAGATTGTAGTTTTTTTGTGTGCCAAACGAGAGCACCTATGGACCCTCTAGAAAATAATCATAATAATCTTAGTTATTTTACTTTAAATTTAATATTGGATTGACAAACATTTCCTATTTGATTTTAATCATTTAGAAATGTTGCTTTGTTTTACTACTACAAAACATTTTTTTACTATTTTTTTCACCACCACTATAAACTGATGTAAATTCGTGCGCCCAGTGACCCCTAGAAACGATCTGACCCGAGGAGAACCTTATAGAGCCTTGCAAGATGACTGATGACTACTGTGCGACTTTTTGTCGGTGCAAATTATGTCGGCCTACAGAACTATCAAACGAGGTCAAATACAATACAATACTGTAATGCTGAGAAATTATAGAAAGCTGCACTATCAGTCCTAATGAAAAAATTAAATAACACCTCACAACCAGAACTGAAAAGAAAAAAAAAAAACACATCAAGGGCCCGTTTTAAATCCAGGGTTTCATGGAAAAATTTATCTAAAATATTTTACTATCAGGGAGGTTACATTTGTTCCTCTATTAAATCATTCGATTGTAAACTCTTAGAAAAACCCGAAGCTTATTCTGGGACTTTAATTGGCTGTGAAAGGTAGCCCTTAAAATAGGCTATAATTACTTTTTTTTTTTTTTTTTTTTTATAATCGCAGTTTTACAAAAGAACGAATATTGTTCGTTTGCACACAACAAAACCGAAAGCGCACAGTTCAGTTCAGAAAATGAATGAACTTTTTTCTCCCATTTGATATTTCCCAAAAACCAGGAGAGGGAGCCAGGTGCAAGGATTAGACTGAGAAGAAGAACAAAGTAATAATATTACAAGCTCAGTAAACTTCAAAAGTAGTCTCACTCAGGTCTCACTAACTTTTATGGATGAAATGTCCTTAGTTTTATGTTGTTTTTTTTTATTTGGAATATTGATTATTTCTACAATTAAGGGTTTAAGAATGGAAGCATGTTTTCATTTTATATCTATAATGGACTTACACCATTCAAGAACAAATATTAAATACAGGGCGAAACATAGATCTACACACCGGTCTCCCTTAGATCAGGCGCAGGACATTTATACTCACCAGGGAACACAGGATGATAGAAGATGCAATCCACTCTTTGCAGAAGGAATCGATGAAATAATCCCAGATGTGGCCGGCTGGATTTTAGGTTCCTGAAGTCAATCCTCGTGTTTTTTAAATCCGGATTTCGTGAAAAGTGCTTGATACGACTGAGAGTTCCTCTGGTTTTTATTCTTAGTGTTCAAGAGAGCCCCAAAGGTGAATCTATTAAAAGCGCTCCGTGCGCTTAAAGCAGCTTAAAGGTCTGGTAAAAAAAAAAAAAAAATAGTGGAATATAGGTACAGAATAAAAACTTTGATTGAAAAATAATAAGGTGGATATAGTTTTTTTTTCTTCTTCAGTGCGTAAATTTTTAGGAAGGATTCACTAAATGGAAACCAAAGTGCCACTGGTTTGGTCATAGGATGTAACCCTACTTTGTCGACTCACTTATGAAGTGAAGTGGGGAGACTCTGATTAATGTTCAACTACAAAACAAAGAGAATTCTGGTTTGCACATGAGATCCAGCCGCTCAAGTCATAGCGCCCTTTACCTGCAGAAAGATCCACACGGTGATCCTTGCCACACATGGCTTGTCAATTTACCTTCCATTCTTCAGTGCTCTGATAATTCCCTCAGCCAAAGTTAAAGGTTTTCACATGAGAGAAAAAAAAACAAAATAAAACACATAAACAGTCCACCGCTGCACAAATTGACGAGTTAAAAAATAAAATTGGGATCCTGATAGCGTGCTCCAAATAAGAAAAATATGATCTTCCCCTAATTTCCAAAGCTTGCGGCTTGACGAGCACGCAGTGTGTCAGGAGGACAGAGCGCGTCAACAGCGGCGTCTCTTGCTGGCTCCGACTGCTTTATGCTCCCACGCTCTATGTGCGCCTTTGGTTGCGTTCAAGTGCAGAAAAATAGCCCTCCCTCTCCTTTCCTCTCCCCTTTTTTCTTGCCTCTCTCACCTGCTACAGTTGCCTCCTCTCTCAATGTTGCGCTGATGCGCATTTGAACAAAAAATAAAAAGAGATTTTCTTCAATGCGCATGCGCTCCAAATTAATACCACTTGTTTTCCTCCAACTAACTTTTTTTTTTTTAAGAAGCAAGGATTCAGCAAAGGTAAAGTGGCGCAGGGAGGGGGTGGCAGAGAGAGGAACAGAAATGAGGGCGGAACAGCCTGTAACAAAACAAGCGTCTCTATTACCTAAAATAAACTTATAAAGCACCCGCGGCTATTAGCCCATCCATACCAGGGCAGAGTCAGAGATTTTCACCGGCTGCAGATCAGGTTACCGCTGCAGCACAATCAGTGCAGGCAGGTCCACACCGCGCGCTGCTTACACAAGCCGATCTCATCACCCGAAGGCCTGCGAGCATTTTCGGTAATTATTTTTTGATGGCACTCTATCTGAAAACAAGCAGCCGAAATCTGATCGCTTCTAGGTCGATATTTTTCAATGAGTCTGACGCCGACTGTTGGGGTGGAGGCAAAGTGGTTAATAGTTTCACACAGGAAGGCTCCTGTGCTCATTAAATGCGTGTATTTTGCATCGACTGAGGTAATTGGGATTTAATAATTAGTAAAAATATTTAGAATAAGATAAAGAGGAATCAAGAAACTAATTTTCTGCCTCTATGTTACTTTATACTAGGTGATATAACCAGATGCATTTCAGTAAATAATGATACAACTATAAAGGTAAAACATTTCAAGTATTTATTTTGTCTTGTTTTTTTAATGTTTTATATGGGTTACAGGTGGTTGTTCTTTTGCTTTTAGACCTAACAGCTGCATTTGACTCTTTGGACCATTAGATTTTATTTAATCTTTTGGAGCAGTGGGTGGGCATTAGGGGCACATCATTGGTGTGGTCAGATTTTATATGAGTGAGGGAACACATTGCCAGATTTTGAAATGATCCTCACCCACTCTGCTCTTATGTGGTGTCCCACAGGGGTCCTAGGCCCCCTTCTTTTTTTTTTGTCTTATTTGGGTTAATGTTTTAGAAAGCACAGGAATTTTTCTTTTTTACTGTTGTTTTATGATTGTCAGGTTTATATCCCTAATAAAAGGTTTTTTTTAGTTTTTTTTTCTTTACCGAACTACTGCTTCAATGTCTTAAGGAATGAAAGGCCTCGATGGCTTTACATTGTCTGCACTAGAAGTCAGTTTTTTGACACTTCTTGTGGAACTGCAGCCTTTGGCTCAATATATGAAATCAGTCATCAAGTTGACAGCGATCTAAAATTTGTGTAAACAAGCTTTTTTCATTTAATGCAGCTGGCTAAAGTTAAGCCGAATCTTTGAAGACAGAACTATGAGGCCGTAATCCACTCTTTCATCACTACTTTGTGAGATTGCTGTAATGGACTTTATATAGGGGTCAGTGCTTCCCCTGTTGCTCATATCAAGTCCAAAATGCCGTTGCACTTCTTTTAACTGACACAAAAAAGCATGAGCATATCTCCAGTTTTGTCTCACTCCACTGGTTAGATTTTAGAAGTAATTTTAAAGTCATATTTTTTTGTTGTTTTTAAAGCATTAGACACTCTTGCTCCATGCTACCTTACTGGACTGCTGCACCCTTTTACCCCCTCCTGCCCTCTCAAGTCAGCAGAGCAGCCACTCCTGAACATCCCAAAAACCACTCTGCAGATTCAAGGTGATCATTCCTTCTTTGCTGCCATGAGGGGAAATGTGTGAGGAAAGGTGTTTAGGTAATGTCTTAGTAAGGAAACCTAGGCGGATTTAAGGGTATTCTGCCACTTGTGGTCAAAACACAGAACTGCAGTATTCCGCTGTTCATTTCCATAATGCATGCTCATATATTACTTGACTAAGTTTTTACCTTACCTGGAGTGTTACCTTAAGTGTCTGAGTTGAGCTGCATTCTGGTTGCTTCAGTTAGGGACCTTCCTACCTGGATAAATATGTGTGTTTACTCTAACATTATCAAACATAACATTATATTTACCTTTTTCAAGTTTCTAAAGTCATCTACACATCAGTCGTTGACGAGTCGGGTAAGTTCATTGTGCGGTAAGTTCTTTTTGCCTTGTTTTTTAGGACTCGTCCGGTGTATCCTAAATAGACTTGGGCACCCCGTGATTCTTTTCAAGTCCAAGCAAGCCGGTTGCTACTTGTTCATAGGAAAAAGGGAAATGGCACCAGACACTGGTGAATATTGTAATTGCAGTTTAATATAATTGAAGTATGTGAATAGTTCCGTCTGAAATGTAGGACAGTTGTTTTTTAAATGGTCATTGAGTCATATATGTAGCGGGTAATGCTTGGTTTATTGATAGGTTTTTTTCTGTCCCTGTTCAAATGGGTTTGGCTGACATTTAAAGTTGTAGGGAAATCATATTTAAATAATTCTGGTTTAAACATGTATATAAATGTACTCTTTATAAGACCATATTGTCCCAAACGTTAGAAAATGTCTATTTAGAAAAAAAAAAATCCAGTCTTAAAATCTGTGGGGGTTTTTTTCGTTTTCTTATGCAGACCAGTTAGTTATGTTAGCTTGTACACCGAAATAATATAAATATATCCAAAAAAATAATAATTATTTGTTTACCATTGAATTGCATCCCAGTGTTCCCAGGGATGGACGTCTGTGGCTTCAGCAGGCGTAGAGCTAACAGAACTGGCAGCATTGCAAGGCAGGGGCTCAAACATGGACGGCTGTAAGCCTTCTAAACCAAAGAAGCTTCTGCCGCCCTGGCGTCCTCTCCCATGACAACTTTGTCCCCAATTTCCTCCCCTAAATAAGAAATGTATGACGTAGGAGACTCGTAGGTGACCTCTGAAACAAAACTCTTCTCCTCTTGCATGCTTCCGCTGTCCATAGCCTTCTTTGACAGTGTTGTTGCTAAGTCACCCATTTAGTGCTACTTGGTCCAAATGTAATTTCCCATTGGGAACCTACTAGCACTAAGTTTCTAACTGGTTAGTAGAATGCTTCAGACAAACCGGCCACAACCAAAATTGCTTGTGAACAACAATCCCGCCCCCTTGATAAATGACCAATCACATTCACTTTATTCACTTGTGTAAAGTCGGGCACCACTCGGGAGAATTTGGAAATGCAACGGTTGGGGCAGCCATTTCCCTACGACTTTAAGCACACATTAAAACAGAACTGTATTGTGAAGTTTGGTGTCCATTCTTTGCCTACTTTGTGTGTCAACTGTCACAGTTGCTAGGCTACAGAACTTACGGCCGCTGAGATCCGGAGACGGCTGGACCTGTTTGAATCCATCGCCAAAACTCTTTAGGCCTCCTTATTGTCATGGACCTCCAAGGATCCAGTCCAGGTAGACCTTGTCCTTGAAGGATGCAGCCTCTAAAATCGAACATACCCATTGTTTTTTTAAGCAACAATACAGCTTTTGTCCACTCAGAAGAGCTAAAACCCACTAAGGCCTCTGACCTACTAAAACTAAAAGTTCTAGAGAATTGCTTTAACATCCAAAGAAACAGTGCATGAATTTCTGACTCAAAGTACATTCAGCGAAAATAGGCTTTTTGTGGATTTTAATACATAACTGAATAAAATGTTTTCATCAAATTAATTTTCTGGATTGTTTTTCACTAAATTTCTTTCTCTGGATACATTTTTGATTATGTGGTAGTTAATGGTAAGAAAAGGATTATTTGCTAATCTCACCTAGTCATGTACGATCACTTCAAAAGTAGGAAGAGAGTAAGCCTATGCACAGATCAGATATGGCACAAGGCTGGATAATGAGCAAGATATCAAGAGGTATCCCACTTTGGGGGCTTACCTTCTCTTAACCACATCCTACAGCACTGGTGAACACTTCAACAATTGTTGATTTGTGTCATTAACATTTGTTTTTCATGGTTGTTTGTCCATGCTTTTGGAGCTAGTAAGATCATTTAGTGTACTTTCCACAACAAATATGACTTACAAATTGATAAGAAGAGGTTTATACTTTCACCTTTTTAAACCATTTTTATTAAAATTACAATACAACTTCTATTTACTAAACTGCTTGTAAAACAATCAAAATTGAAAAACACAACCTGTGTAAAATTTATTTCCACAGGGGTTGCAGGTTAGCAGGAGGAACTACAACATACCCTAATCTGTAAGCCATAATATCCAAATTACAAGAAATAATGGCTATATATTATTTATTCATTTATATTTAT